CTATGGACCAGTGAGACCTTGGTTTGAGTCCCGCTCACAGCGAACGTCAGTGGCGAGTGGTGATATTTGAGCCGATTCCGGACCAGAAGTATGGTCAAGGACCGCCCGTGAGCGAGGGGAGGCGCCCATCCAGCAGATGATTGACCAAGGGCTGGGAAAATCATAATTATGATTTGTGTAATGACAGGGAACCCCGGTATAGCCTTACAAGACTGCTGGGGCGAGCGCCGTTCGGACGCACCTATCTATGAAGGCAGATACGGCACACAAAGAGGGTGGGTGGCCAGCAACACGCCCGGCCGCCTTTGTATACCAAGTGACGATGTTTACACACCGCGCCAGGTACTCATTTGAGGCTGAGTCGGCCTAGGAGAGGCCCAGGACCGGTTCAGATAATCGCTATCAATGTTGTTGGTGGCCGTGTGCGGGAGGGAATCGAACTCTCGGGTGGTCGGGTTCGTAGCGCACGAACCGCTCCACTGCCGCTCCCCACGTGACCTCTGCAGGCGGCGACGCCGCAGCCACGCGAGGCGGAGACCCCCCCCCCCCCGAGTCTCCTGCTCCCCCATCAGCGAGCACCGCTCAAGACCCCCCCCCCCCCGAGTCGCCTGCTCCCCCAACAGCGAACACCGCTCAAGACCCCCCCCCCCCCGAGTCTCCTGCTCCCCCAACAGCGAACACCGCTCAAGACCCCCCCCCCCCCCGTGTCGCCTGCTCCCCCAACAGCGAACACCGCTCAAGACCCCCCCCCCGAGTCTCCTGCTCCCCCAACAGCGAACACCGCTCAAGACCCCCCCCCCCCGAGTCGCCTGCTCCCCCAACAGCGAACACCGCTCAAGACCCCCCCCCCCCCGAGTCTCCTGCTCCCCCAACAGCGAACACCGCTCAAGACCCCCCCCCCCCCCGAGTCGCCTGCTCCCCCAACAGCGAGCACCGCTCAAGACCCCCCCCCCCCCCGAGTCGCCTGCTCCCCCAACAGCGAACACCGCTCAAGACCCCCCCCCCCCCGAGTCTCCTGCTCCCCCAACAGCGAACACCGCTCAAGACCCCCGCCCCCCGTGTCGCCTGCTCCCCCACCAGCGAACACCGCTCAAGACCCCCCCCCCCCGAGTCTCCTGCTCCCCCAACAGCGAACACCGCTCAAGACCCCCCCCCCCCCCGAGTCGCCTGCTCCCCCAACAGCGAACACCGCTCAAGACCCCCCCCCGAGTCTGCTGCTCCCCCAACAGCGAACACCGCTCAAGACCCCTTCCCCCGAGTCTCCTGCTCCCCCACCAGCGAACACCGCTCAAGACCCCCCCCCCCCCCGTGTCGCCTGCTCCCCCACCAGCGAACACCGCTCAAGACCCCCCCCCCGAGTCTCCTGCTCCCCCAACAGCGAACACCGCTCAAGAACCCCCCCCCCCGAGTCTCCTGCTCCCCCAACAGCGAACACCGCTCAAGACCCCCCCCCCCCCCGAGTCGCCTGCTCCCCCACCAGCGAACACCGCTCAAGACCCCCCCCCCCGAGTCGCCTGCTCCCCCACCAGCGAACACCGCTCAAGACCCCCCCCCCCCCAGTCGCCTGCTCCCCCAACAGCGAACACCGCTCAAGACCCCCCCCCCCCGAGTCTCCTGCTCCCCCACCAGCGAACACCGCTCAAGACCCCCCCCCCCGTGTCGCCTGCTCCCCCATCAGCGAGCACCGCTCAAGACCCCCCCCCCCCGAGTCGCCTGCTCCCCCACCAGCGAACACCGCTCAAGACCCCCCCCCCCGAGTCGCCTGCTCCCCCATCAGCGAGCACCGCTCAAGACCCCCCCCCCCCCGAGTCGCCTGCTCCCCCACCAGCGAGCACCGCTCAAGACCCCCCCCCCCGAGTCGCCTGCTCCCCCACCAGCGAACACCGCTCAAGACCCCCCCCCCCCCGAGTCGCCTGCTCCCCCACCAGCGAACACCGCTCAAGACCCCCCCCCCCCCGAGTCGCCTGCTCCTCCATCAGCGAGCACCGCTCAAGACCCCCCCCCCCCCGAGTCGCCTGCTCCCCCACCAGCGAACACCGCTCAAGACCCCCCCCCCGAGTCGCCTGCTCCCCCATCAGCGAGCACCGCTCAAGACCCCCCCCCCCCGAGTCGCCTGCTCCCCCACCAGCGAACACCGCTCAAGACCCCCCCCCCCCCGAGTCGCCTGCTCCCCCACCAGCGAACACCGCTCAAGACCCCCCCCCCCGAGTCGCCTGCTCCCCCAACAGCGAGCACCGCTCAAGACCCCCCCCCCCCCCGAGTCGCCTGCTCCCCCATCAGCGAGCACCGCTCAAGACCCCCCCCCCCCCGAGTCGCCTGCTCCCCCAACAGCGAACACCGCTCAAGACCCCCCCCCCTCCCCCCGAGTCGCCTGCTCCCCCACCAGCGAACACCGCTCAAGACCCCCCCCCCGAGTCGCCTGCTCCCCCATCAGCGAGCACCGCTCAAGACCCCCCCCCTCCCCCCGAGTCGCCTGCTCCCCCACCAGCGAACACCGCTCAAGACCCCCCCCCCGAGTCGCCTGCTCCCCCAACAGCGAACACCGCTCAAGACCCCCCCCCTCCCCCCGAGTCGCCTGCTCCCCCAACAGCGAACACCGCTCAAGACCCCCCCCCCTCCCCCCGAGTCGCCTGCTCCCCCAACAGCGAACACCGCTCAAGACCCCCCCCCCCCGAGTCTCCTGCTCCCCCAACAGCGAACACCGCTCAAGACCCCTCCCCCGAGTCTCCTGCTCCCCCAACAGCGAACACCGCTCAAGACCCCCCCCCCCCGAGTCTCCTGCTCCCCCAACAGCGAACACCGCTCAAGACCCCCCCCCTCCCCCCGAGTCGCCTGCTCCCCCAACAGCGAACACCGCTCAAGACCCCTCCCCCCCGAGTCTCCTGCTCCCCCATCAGCGAACACCGCTCAGACCCCCCCCCCCCCCCGAGTCTCCTGCTCCCCCATCAGCGAACACCGCTCAAGACCCCCCCCCCCCCGAGTCTCCTGCTCCCCCATCAGCGAACACCGCTCAAGACTCCCCCCCCCGAGTCTCCTGCTCCCCCACCAGCGAACACCGCTCAAGACCCCCCCCCCCCGAGTCTCCTGCTCCCCCAACAGCGAACACCGCTCAAGACCCCCCCCCGAGTCGCCTGCTCCCCCAACAGCGAACACCGCTCAAGACCCCCCCCCTCCCCCCGAGTCGCCTGCTCCCCCAACAGCGAACACCGCTCAAGACCCCCCCCCCCCCGAGTCTCCTGCTCCCCCAACAGCGAACACCGCTCAAGACCCCCCCCCCCTCCCCCCGAGTCGCCTGCTCCCCCATCAGCGAACACCGCTCAAGACCCCCCCCCTCCCCCCGAGTCGCCTGCTCCCCCAACAGCGAACACCGCTCAAGACCCCCCCCCTCCCCCCGGGTCGCCTGCTCCCCCAACAGCGAACACCGCTCAAGCCCCCCCCCCCCCGAGTCTCCTGCTCCCCCATCAGCGAACACCGCTCAAGACCCCCCCCCCCCCGAGTCTCCTGCTCCCCCATCAGCGAACACCGCTCAAACCCCCCCCCCCCCGAGTCTCCTGCTCCCCCAACAGCGAACACCGCTCAAGACCCCCCCTCCCCGAGTCTCCTGCTCCCCCATCAGCGAACACCGCTCAAGACCCCCCCCCCGAGTCTCCTGCTCCCCCAACAGCGAACACCGCTCAAGACCCCCCCCCCCCGAGTCTCCTGCTCCCCCAACAGCGAACACCGCCCAAGACCCCCCCCCCCCCGAGTCGCCTGCTCCCCCAACAGCGAACACCGCTCAAGACCCCCCCCCCCCGAGTCTCCTGCTCCCCCAACAGCGAACACCGCTCAAGACCCCCCCCCCCCGAGTCTCCTGCTCCCCCAACAGCGAACACCGCTCAAGACCCCCCCCCCCCCGAGTCGCCTGCACCGCTCAAGAGAGGTGGCCACGAACCCGCAGCTGCAGCAAACATTCTGCACCACGACTCTCTTCCCCTCGCCAAGACGCGGCGGCGGCGGCGGCGTTACCGCAAGGCTCGTGCCAAGCTAGGTGCACTTCGAGTTATGTCTGGGGGCGGGGGGGGTAAGGGAGGGGCCGAATTAGCGAGTTTATTTTTTTTTAGCGAAGCTGCCACAACGGATGTATAATTATTTATTTACTTGATGCATTGCCCCGGGCCAAGCGAGATGGGCAACGCGCATGCGCACCACGGAGCCCCCCCAGGGAGAGGAGATGGGGGAGGGGGGTGATGGTGGTGGTGATGGTGGAGGTGATGGTGGAGGGATGATAGTGGCGATGAAGGAGGGATAGTGGAGGACTGATGGAGGGATGGAGAGCCCCGGGGTGATGGGAAGGAGGGAATGTGTCACGATTAATCGAATCGCGACTGTCATCATCTGTTTGTCAATCCCTAGACGTTACGTGTCATGGGGTCACGTGACACTTTATAGCCGCTAGAGGCCGCTGCGGTAATCACAATAAATCGAATCGTGAAACTTCATCTGACGACAGGGGGGGGGGGGGGGGCGAATCCTGACCCCCCCTTACCCCCTACCTCACTCTACCAATCCCTGCCCGGGCAGCGCTCTTTCCCATTTCCACTCCCTCCTTCTCCTCCTCCTCCTCGTCGTCTTCTCAATCCTCCTTCCCTGCATCTCGCCCTCCTTCCTCTCCACTTCGCAACCCTGCCGTGCCAATGCAACCTCCCTCACTACTCCCCCCCTCCCCCCCCTCTCCCTCCTCCATCCACACTCCCCCCTCTCTCCATCCCCCTCCATCAACCCCCCCCTACAGCCAGCCTCCCTTCATCCATCCTCCATCCCCCTTACACCCCCCCTCCAGCCATCCCCCCGCCCCCCTCCCTCCCGTCCCGCGCGATGCGCCCCGGGCCACTTTGAATGAGGCGGGGGGGGGCGCGGGGGGCTGCGCGAACCGCAGCCTCGACTCCCCCTCGGCTCCCCCGCAGCCCCCCTCCCTCCCTCAGCCTCCTCCCCCCCTCGCCGCCCTCCCCGCCCCCACCGCCATCCCTGCCTCCCCGCGCCCGAGGCGGCCTCCGCCTTGCGGCGCAAATTCCTGGCGGGGCTGCGCGCCTCTCCGCGCCGGCAGTCGCAGCAGCAGCAGCAGCGAGGAGGAGGAGAGCGGAGAGAGCGCGGCCAGGGGCGAGAGAACCGCATGTTCCAGGTAAGGGCAGCGGCGAGGGAGAGGGCAGCAGCAGCCGGGGCAGCGGCGGCGGCTGCGGCAGCGACAGCAGCGGCTGCTGCTGCTGTGTCGAGAGGGAGGAGCGGTGCGCGCGTCGCGCCGCCCGCGGACGAGAATCGGGAGCCGAGAGTCGCGCTCCTCGCTCGCGGCTCCCCCAAGCGCACGGGGCCCCCCTGCTCCCCCTCGGCTCCCCTTGATCCCCCCCGCTCCCTCCTGCTCCCCCCGCTCCCCCCGCTCCCCCCGCTACCCCTCGGCTCCCCCCGCTGCTCCCCCCGCTCCCTCCTGCTCCCCCGCTCCCCCCGCTTCCCCCGCTCCCCCCGCTTCCCCCGCTCCCCCCGCTCCCTCCTGCTCCCCCCACTCCCTCCTGCTCCCCCCACTCCCTCCTGCTCCCCCCCGCTCCCTCCTGCTCCCCCGCTCCCCCCGCTTCCCCCGCTCCCCCCGCTTCCCCCGCTCCCCCCCGCTCCCTCCTGCTCCCCCCGCTCCCTCCTGCTCCCCCCACTCCCTCCTGCTCCCCCCGCTCCCTCCTGCTCCCCCCGCTCCCTCCTGCTCCCCCCACTCCCTCCTGCTCCCCCTGCTTCCCCTGCTGTCTCGCTGTCTTCTCCGCTCGGTCCCCCGTGCCTCCCCTTCGGCTCCCCGCCGCCCGCGTCCCTGGCTCGGCCCCTTCAGCCGAGAGCGCTCGGCAGAGGCAGCAGAGAGAGGCGAGGGGAGGGCGGAGGGGAGAGAGGAGGAGGAGAGCGGAGAGGAGAGCAGGGGCCAGGGAGAGGAAGAGTGGAACGGAGAGTGCGCGGAGCGCGCACCACGAGAGAGTCCCGCTCTCACCACCCCTCGCCCTCACCACCCTCACCACCCCTCACCACCCTCACCACCCTCACCACCCCTCACCAGCCTCACCACCCCTCACCCTCATCACCCCTCACCACCGCTCACCCACACCTCACCACACCTCGCCCTCACCACCCCTCGCCCTCACCACCCCTCACCCTCACCACCCCTCACCACACCTCGCTCTCACCACCCCTCACCCTCACCACCCCTCACCACCCCTCACCCTCACCACCCCTCACCCTAACCACCCCTCACCCTCACCACCCCTCACCAGCCTCACCACCCCTCACCCTCACCACCCCTCACCCTCACCACCCCTCACCCTCACCACCCCTCACCAGCCTCACCACCCCTCACCCTCACCACCCCTCACCCTCACCACCCCTCACCCTCACCACCCCTCACCACCCTCGCCCCCGCGGAGACGACGTCCCGGTGACATGAAGGTGAGGAGCGGGGAGACGCGGGGAGATCAGAGGGGGGAGAAGAGGAGAAGCACGGAGAGGGACGAGGTGAGAGGCGAGAGAGAGAGAGAGAGGAGTTCACAAGGAGATGGGGGTTGGGGAGACCTGGGGGATGAATGGGGAGATTGGGTCGTGAGGAGAGCGACACGGGGAGCGGGGAGAGCGGGGAGCGGGGAGAGGGGAGAGCGGGGAGCGGGGGGAGCGGGGAGCGGGGGAGCGGGGGGAGCGGGGGGAGCGGGGGGAGCGGGGGGAGCGGGGAGCGGGGGGAGCGGGGGGAGCGGGGGGAGCGGGGGGAGCGGGGGGAGCGGGGGGAGCGGGGGAGCGGGGGGAGCGGGGGGAGCGGGGGGAGCGGGGGGAGCGGGGGGAGCGGGGGGAGCGGGGGGAGCGGGGGGAGCGGGGAGCGGGGGGAGCGGGGGGAGCGGGGAGCGGGGGGAGCGGGGAGAGCGGGGGGTGGATGCCGCAGCCCGGGTCCGGGTGGTCGTGTCGGGCACCGGGGTCGGGGGGTCACGGGGGGCGCGGGGGTCATGATGCTGTGAGGCCTCGAGTGCGTAAGGGTCTGTGCGTTTGTGTACACGTGTGTGTACGTGTGTGTACGTGTGTGTGTGTACGTGTGCGTGTACGTGTGTGATCGTGTGTGTACGTGTCTGTGTATACGTGTGCCTGCGTGTGTGTGTACGTGTGTGTACGTGTGATCATGTGTGTACGTGTGTGTGTGTGCACGTGGTTATCGCTACGCTGCGCTTCAAACCCGGCGACTCGAATTCTATTCCCGCTCGCGGCCACCAACACCCAGTGACGATTATCTGAACCGGTCCTGTTCCTCCCCTAGGTCGACTCAGCCTCAAATGAGTACCTGGTGCGGTGTGTAAACATCGCCACTGGGGAGACAAAGGCGGTCGGGCGTGGTGCTACCCCCCCCCCCTCGTGTGCCGTGCCGGCCTTCATAGGTGTCCCCCAACAGTCTGTCAAGGCTACACGGGGGATCTTTGTGCAACACGTCTCGTGCACTGTGCGTGGAGAGTGCGGATTACATGCCGCGAGTCTCTGTGTGTGTGTACACATGTGTGTATGTGCGTGTGTACACGTGTGTGTACGTGTACGTGTGTGTGTACGTGTGTCTGAGTGTACACGTGTGTGTACGTGTAGCGGTTAGCACGCTGCGCTATGAACCTGGCGACCCGGGTTCGATTCCCGCTCACGGCCAACAACAGTGACGATTATCTGAACCGATCCTGGGCCTCCCCTAGGTCGACTCAGCCTGAAATGAGTACCTGGTGCGGTGTGTAAACATCGCCACTGGGGAGACAAAGGCGGTCGGGCGTGGTGCTGGCCACCCACCCCCTCGTGTACCGTTCCGGCCTTCATAGGTGCTCGCTAACAGCACTTGCCCCTGCAGTCTGCTAAGGCTATACGGGGGATCTTTGTACACGTGTGTGTACGTGTATGTGTGTGTACGTGTATGTGTGTGTACACATGTGTGTGCGTGTACACGTGTGTGTACGCGTGTGTGTACGCGTGTGTGTACTTGTCCGGCAAAACAACCTCCTACCTCCTCGCGGTGCCGGACGGGCAACACTGTCGTGGGCAGTGCTGTGGGGGGAGGGCCAATGCCCATTGGCCTCTCCCCTCATGGCGTCTGTGACCACCACAGTGGCTAAACGGGGGCTCTGGACGGGTGTGAGGGGCTGGTAACCCCTCCACCTTCAATTAACCACCACTAAACCACGAATTAAACATAAACCTGTAACAAATAAGCTTGTGCCGGAGGCCCCGGGGGGTCAGGCTTTTATGACGTCTCCTGGCCAAACCCCATTTGGCGGAGCCAGGAGATTGAATTTTCACCCTCGGGGCTCCTCCAGAAACAACAAAAAACCATTGCGGATGGCCACGTGGAATGTTCGAACGCTCACTGCGGAGGAGAGGCTGCCACTCCTCTGTCGGGAGCTGGACCGGTACCGCCTGGATCTCTGTGGCATTCAGGAGGTCCGGTGGACCGGTTCTGGCTCCTGCCACCATGAGGGGTGGACAGTCCTCTACTCGGGGCAGGAGACTGCCAAACAACAGGGTGTGGCTCTTCTTCTGAACAAAAGAATGAAGGGGGCGTGGGAGCATGGCGGTGAGGTGTGGGAAGCTGTAAGCCCCAGGATACTTTGGGCTCGCCTTCCCATCAACCAGAGGCGAGGAGTGGTGGTCGTGGTTACTTATGCCCCCACCGAAGACGAACATCCGTGGAGGGATGCAGGCAAAGCCGATGAGTCAGACTCTTTCTATGACCTCCTGTCACAGGTGCTGGCTAAAGTGGCCACTCGGGACAGAGTCATCTTGTTGGGTGACTTCAATGCCCGAGTTGGTCATGATGCTGATACCTGGTCTGGAGTGATTGGAAGGCATGGGCCAGATCAGCTCAATAATAACGGTAGGAGGCTGCTAGATTTTTGTGCAGCCCATGGGCTTGTAATTACCAACACGCTCTTCCGGCATCCGGCGCATCCACACAACATCATGGATACATGCCGGGTCCAAGCAAGAACATCTGCTGGACTACATAGTGACGGACCAGCGGATGCGAACCCATGTCCTTGACACCAGGACCTACCGTGGAGCTGATCTCTCCTCTGACCATCGACTAGTCATCTGTAAGATGCGCCTGCCTTTCTTCCACTCCGGTGGTGGGTGTACACCCAGGATCCCATTCCAACCAAAAGTGGCCTGGTCTCAGCTGATGAAAGTTGCAAGCGAGAATTTCATCATCGCTTGCAGCTGGGGTTGGCATCGTCCCCCACTCCACCTGATGTCGAGGGGAAATGGGCGAGGTTTAAGACTGTGACTCATGCAGCTGCAATGGCTGCTTTAGGTACGCGGTCCAGACCTCCCCAGAAACCCTGGCTGACAGAGGAGGTGTTCAGGTTAATTGAGAAAAAGCGTCAGGCCCACTCTCATCGCCTACAGCATCCCACGTCAGAGAATGAGGAGGTTTACCGCAGCCTTCGCTCAGAAGTTCGGAGAGCCGTAAGGCGCTGTAAGGATGGGTGGTGGCCGCGGGTTGCTGAGGAGATGGAGTCTGCCTCAGTGGCCCGTGATCACAAATCACTATTTAACTCCATCAAAAAAGTAACCTGCAGCGCCACACCTATTACCATCATTAGAGGAAAAAACGGTGATCCAATCTCCGACCCCCAGGAACAGGTTTGCAGATTTGCTGAGCATTTCTGTGAGGTCCTGGGGGAGGGAAATTCTCTCAGCCAGGAAAACATCATGGCACAAAGTGGTGATAACCCTGCTGAGGCTGCGGTGCCTCAAATATTGGAAGAGGTCACCCCCTGTGAGTGGCTGGCTGAGGTGCCAGCTGTTGAGGAAGTACTGAGGGCGATCCGGAGTCTGAGACCAGGGAAGGCATCGGGCAGAGATGATCTCCCAAGCGAAATGCTGAGGGAGGGTGGCGTTTGTGCACAGACTGCCCTATATGACATCATAACAACAGTCTGGACCACTGGACGGGTTCCGCAGGACTGGAAGGATGCCCTGGTGGTTCCCCTCTTTAAGAAGGGGGACCGTACCGACTGTAACAACTACAGGGGCATCTCACTCCTCAGTGTGCCGGGTAAGGTCCTGGCAAGGATTATTCAACATCGCCTTGCTAGGCACGCTGAGGAGAGGCTTGCGGAGCCCCAATGCGGTTTCAGGAAAGGGCAG